TTAAGAAATTAATGGTTTACTTTCCGTCTGGTATATTTTTGTAATTGTGGAAAAGCTCTATGTGAGTTGCAGTTGCCAACCACAAGAGGGCAGGAAGGACTATTCAATTATTACCTAAAAATGCCGTTCAGTGTTTTCAAATTAGCTTCTGGTATATTAACAAAAAGGAGTATAATGGCCAAGTTATTGTTTGATTTACAGATAATTGGCATATTGCAGGGAGGAGACTTAATTTCACCCTTTTAAATTAAACAGGGAGATTTAAAAAGACATAAAATATTCATTAATGTTCAGTGATTATAAAGCAGTGGCATATATTTATTCTACCTTTATTACTGTTTCGATGGGAAAATACTGCAAATATTTCAGAAATCGACTTGGCCATACTGACAAGTTGAAATGTTTAAGCAGTGTTAATGCAATCTACTCGCACGTTATATCCTATGCAGAAAGATTCAAAATTACTACATCAATTATTAAAAGAAATATTTAAAATTCTATAGATGTTCTACTGCTTGCCACAGTTGGATGCAACTGTCTCTCCAGGGCTAGTTGTTTAGTTTGTTGTTATTATTAATGCTGCAAATTTTACGGAATAGATATTTTTTTCATGTGTCTCAAAACACCCCCCCCACAACACCACACTAAAAACCCAACCCCACCACCCTTTCAAAACTGTCATAAATATTTTGCAATGGATTAAATGTAAAATCCAGTGAGCTCTCAGCTGTCCTTTCCTAAACTACTGTTGCTTCAGTTCTCTGTCATCTTTTTTTATTGTTTAGAGTGCATGTTTAGTAGTGAATGATATTTGGATGACTTGTTATTTCAAAGAAAACTTGCTGTTTAATGGGGAAACAGTCTGACAGAAAATTTTCTGAGAGAAGCCTGAAGCCGTAGTGCTCATGTCTGCTTCCACAATTTCTTGCGTATTAATTCAGTAGTTGGATTTTGGATGATACTTGAAAATGCTTTTTTTTTTTTTTTTTTTTTTTAACATGCTTTATCTACATCTTCAGCTGTTCACATATTAAGATTTAATTTCTCAGTTTAAAAAATGTAAGTGACTATCAGTTATATTTATGTGGGTTTATAAGGCTATAGGGAATCTTCAGAAATGAAATAAAAATTAAACCCAACTTGTCCAAAATTCTGGATATTAGAATTTTATTTTTTTTTTTTGTGAGTTAGGCAGGGGAGTTGTTAACTTGGAAAGTTAATGATAACATGTTGGCCTAAATTGCAAATTAATCTGTGTCACAGGTTTCTGACATCTGTTTGTTCTTGTAAAATTGCAGTATTAAATTAATTCTGGGCAGATACTGTTCTGGGAAATATCATGATTACATTTTTCCATGATCCGCATTTTAAAGGGGAAATTAGTAGGTTTTGTGCCTGTAAATTAATACATTTCTGATGTATTATATGGCTAAATAAGGACAGATCTAGCATTGAACTCCTAACACTTACAAGACCAAAAGGAGTTTTCTATCTGAATACTTGCTCTTTAATCTGTAGAGGCTATCTGTAATGGGAGTGAGAGAATTTTTAAATTTTGATTCGAGAAGCTATGTGCTAAATTATTACAAGGCGTTGCCACATTAAACATAATTTGTTTTCTGTCTGTTCTTACGAACTTGTTCTCATTTAGAAATGAATGTTTCTACTACTTTTTCATTTTTGCAAGTGTAGTACAGTATTTGATGGAGATGAAGGGCAACCCTTTTCAAAGGGGGAAATATTTAAATGTTTCACGGAAAGCAAGTTTGTGTTCTCATCCTGGAGTAGACAAACTAATTTGTGAAAAACTTTCTGAATTTGAGTTCTTGTCACAATAGCATGCTTCCCACTTTTTGTTGTTTTAGTCACTGACATATGAAAAAAAAAACCCTAACAAACTGGGTAACTCTGTTAAAAACAAGGAGTTTGCGTTTGTCTGTTTTACTGTTGGTATAGACTTTGAAGCCTTTTTGTGATGCCTGTATGCAGGATTACAGAAGTACCCAGTGTATACAAGCTGTGGCTGCTAAAGGGTGGACGAGTTACATATCCAGAAACCTCAGGCCTCTTGTAGGTTGGTGGATTTTATTTTGTAACTGCTGGAGATTCCAGTTGAGAATACTAGCTAAAGCATGTACCGGGCACTATAATTCCTAGTAAAACATAAAATCTTTACAAACAATGCAAAGAAGATGGGTCCCTAAATACTGGCTGCCTCTGCATAGCTGCATCTGCTCTTTATTCTTTTCCCTCAGACGACAGCCTAATCGGAGGCTAGCTGCTTAGCATCCCTGTCACCTGTGATAGGTAATATATTTGTTCTTTGTTCCCTGTAGACTTACTGGCTAAGGTGGAATATGAAAAGCAATGTATCCAATAGCACTCCAGGCAGGAGGAGGAACTATTTGTGCATACATCTGCTTGGGCTGAGATAAACTATAAATTCTGTGCTGACAGACCCTAATGACAGTTTGAAGTCCTTTGTGCTGAATTTTTTAAAACTTTTTTGATAAGTGGATGAATGTGAAACAAGATACAAACCCACCATTTATAAATGTGCAGGCAGAAACCTCATTTAAAAGGCCTATATATATAAATGTAGGTAAGCAGATGAATTACTTTCAGCACGCAGAAAAATAATCCAGCTGAAGGTCTTGTACCTTTTTCAGATCTGATTTTTGGTATCTGTACAAAATATTTTCAAGCCAATTGTTGTTGAGTGAGATCATCCACACTAAAGGTCAGACATTGGCATGGGGACACGAAATGTATATACAAATAATGTTCTTTTTAATATCGTAGCCAAGTATTTACAATAAAAGACATTTACCAGAGATCAGAATATGGATATATCCAAATACGGTACATACGTTAACAGTTTCCAAAACAGTTGTGTTATATCTTGAGGTTTTTTTACTTGCTTCAAAATTGTTGAAAACTATTCTTGTGCTAATAAAAATCAGTAACTAACACTTTTTGGTATTTAATAGGAGGTGCACAAACATTCTACACTATTGTTCAATTATTCTCTTAGTATCAGAGAAGCTAGTAAAATACGTTGTTGCTATACTGATTGTACTTGAGAGAAGTACAT